CTCCTGGCAAGGAGACTACAGAAATGATCTCTTGCCTTTCCCAATTGGTTCTGCTAGGAGGAGCAGGTGTTCTGTATCCCTGCTGTGGGTGGTAAAGGTGGCATCTGCTAGGTTTCTCTACTCTAAAGCCATCAACTTCTCTGTAATTAGGAAACTCATGAGAAGCTGCTCTCAGATCGTGCAGATGTCTGGTGGCTTCTCAAACTCCCTCTTGTATGATTTTAGTTCTCATGGACACTGTGTCCTGTGACCTCTGTGAATTGGTGTTATTCCTTTTTATTATTTAGACTTCCATGAGGAAAGATGTCCTCCCTCCCATGTTTTTCTGTTTATACTAATGTGATCTTGATTATTATTTTAAAAAAACAGGTCATGACGCTTTCACACTGCTTTCATTATTTCTGTTGATGTTCAAAGTCAAGACCTGACTAATGGAGGCAAGCCCCCCTGATGCCTTCAGGTCTCTACCACTCTTTAGCATCTCTTTATTTTCTGGCATGACAGAATTTGTTCTTTACTCTCCTTATTCCAACCTGAGAATATTCTGTTTTTCAAAGAAGCTCTACTTCTGTCCAGTAGAGGATAGCTTCTAAAAACTTCCACAATCTGAACACTAGGTGAGCTAAGTGCTCCTACAGAGTGATCTCTGTTAGACCCTCCCAGTGGGCAGATATGTACACACTATCATCTATCTATCTGTATGCCTGTCGTCTACTTGTCTGTCTATCTATCTATCTATCTATCAATCAATCGATCCATCTATCTATCCATCCACTCTCTATCTCTCTATCAATCTATTATCTATCCTAAACCATTTAGTTATCTATACCCTATAATGGGTTCCATGGTCTTATGTTATATCTTTGTGTGTGTATGAGTGTGATATGTGCATTTTATGTAAGTGTCCTGCTCAATCATTTTTGTGTGTTTTTAATGGTTTACATTAATTTATTTATATAGTGTGTGTGAACCTGCCATGGCTGTGTGTAGGGATCAGAGGACAACTTTGGGGAGTCCTTGTCTTCCACCATGCGGTCCTCACCAAGCTCAGATGACCAGGTTGCTGGCAAGCAAGCACCTTTGCCCACTGAGCTTGTCTTGCCTAACCTATGCTTTCTCATTTTTAGACAGTATTGTCCAGTGAACCTGGAACTAGACTGGCAGCCAGTAAGCCCCAGTGACTCCTGCCTCTGCCCTCCACAATGCTAGGGTTGCAGGTGCTCACAGGACCACACCCTGCTTTTTACACTGGTCTCAGGTCTCAGGCTTACTCACAGAGACTCGCTTTAGCCCATTATTATGGCACATTTGTCTAAACCAGTGGTGCAGAATGAGTAATTCTTTTCTTCCTTTTTCTGTAATGTTAGCCTTCTTCTTGGATTGCGAGAAACCTGGCTCTATTTACTGCCAATACCTCTGCTTAAGTGTGCTGCCCTTGAGTGTTTAGAAAGTACTTTCAAAATTGCTAACACATTGATGTGATAACAAAGCCTTCATATTAAAGCCAGATATTTGCTCAAAGTTCTGTCTTTAGCCTTAGGACAAAGCAGTCTAAAGGCTGGGTTTAAATACTACTGGATTTTTTTAAGGATTAAAAAGAATTTTAAAATCATGTTTATGTCTGTGTTTGGATATGTGCAAGTGAGTGCCAGTACCTAAGAGACCAGAAGAGGCATTAGATTCCTTGAACCTGGTTCTAAGTCATTTAGCAAGGGCCCTGGGAACTGAACTTGGGTCCTCTGCAAGAGCAGTACATGCCCTTCACCACTGAACCATCTCTGCCCAGATAGCTGAAAATTTTTCCTGAATATTTCTGTTGAAATATTGTACTGGCGAGTTCTTTGTCTTTCTTTGCATATGTCTGTACCTTTCTCCCTCTCCATCGTCGTGTGTGTGTGTGTGTGTGTGTGTCTGTGTGTGTGTGTGTGTGTGTGTATGTGTGTGTGTGTGTGATGCTTTTCTCTCCTTGTATTAGGGACTGAATCTAGATCATCTTACTTTTTAGGCAAGTGTTCTTTTACTGAGTCATATTCCAGCCCTCTGTCTTTTATTTTGTAAAAAGGTCTAGGGTTACTTTGAATTAATTAATTTTATAGTTCAGTCGAGCCCTGAACTGGTCATTCTCCTGCCTCAGTCCCCCAAATAGCTGAGATTATCCACAGAATGTTAATTTGGTTTGTTTTTCTGCCTGGGAGCTCTGCTCTATGCTTGTCTTACTTAGCCTGAGCACACGGATCAGTAACATGATTCAAAATGTGGAGCTGTTCATGGAGCTCTGCTCCCAGAAGGGCTAACTCCCCACCCTTCACAACTTTTCTCTCCACCCCATTCCCACCAAGGTCCCTTAGGTAACCAGCCTCAACAGTTCCTGGTTTATACAGCTGGTGTTTACTTTTGTACGGATAAACAGAGAGATGCTTCTCTTTTTATTTCCCTCTTGTAGACAAAAGATGTAAAAGTTCACATACTAGAGATTTTTCTTCACACTACCAAATAACATTTTAAAGCTGATTTGTGTTTTGGGCTCTCTTCTTTTTCCTTCCCATTTTCCATATGTCCCTGGTCTCCTGTGAATCAGCGGGCTCTCAGAGACCCAAATTCACAGAGGTGAAACAGAATTTAAAAAGTGTGACAGCTGTTGATTGTAAAAAGACGCCTTTGTCCCTGGCCAGGCAGGCATTCTGCACTAAGAGTCCCAGAAACAACTCGAGGCCAACACAGATGGCAGGTCCCCACCCAGGTCCGCTGTGGTCTAAGGAAGTTAGCTTCAGATGGGAGTCCTTTTCTGTTGACAGTGCTGGGCATCCAAACACAAAGCAGCTGGGGCTGTGGCAGCCAATGCTGTGGGTTCCCCCTTCCCCAGGTTTGCAGCTTTAAGTCAAGCAGACAGACCGTTGCCCCGGAGAAGGGAGCCCTTCGTGTTTCCTGGCAGGTAATGGAGTGCACCTGCACAGAGCTCCAGGCTGAGGCCACAGGGCACAGCTGTTTCGTCCTGGCTTGAATGAGTGAGATTCATGCAGCAGGGAGGGGTGGGCTGAAAGTAGCAGCCCCACACCTGTCTGCATGCTTCCCGGGTCAGGAAAGACCTGAATGGAATGTATTTCAGTTCACTTAGGAATGAGCAGGTGGCTCCTGAATTCTGGCATAGACAAGCTTGTTGTTAGCTAGGAGGGACAAAGGAGAAATTCACATAGGCCATGGATTTCTCTCAGCCAGCCTTCCATCCGGACCATTGTCTATACTCAGAAGGCCTGGCTAGTAGTTTTGGCAAACTATGTTTGATTTATCTATGCTAGCTCAGATTCCTAAACATTATCTTCCCAGAGGTCTGGCTATAGACAGCTGTAAGGAATCTGTTATTCTGGTGCGTGTGTGTGTGTGTGTGTGTGTGTGTGTGTGTGTGTGTGTGTGTGTATACTCATGCATACACATGTTATTAAAGATTGAGTCTAGGGGTTCATGGGTGTTCAGTGACCCCCACCCACCCACCCACCACTGAGCTGTATCTTCATCCTTCTTTTTATTTTCTACTTAGAGATAGAGTCTCACTAGGTTGTCCAGGCTAGCCTTGAATTGACTCTGTAACCCAGGCATGCCACAAGTTTGTGATCCTCCTGCCTCAGCTTGTACCATAAGGTCTCACTGTTCTGGTCATCTTAAGTAAGTGCAGCCTTGGAAGCAAGGGCCACTTTGCATGCCTGCCACTCTGTAGTACCCTGCACTGAAGTAAGTGCTCGATGGGCAGAATACTTCTCACTATGACCTCAGGTGCATTGGGAGAAACAGTCATTCAAAGATGCAGACAGGAACTGTGACTCTGGTAGGACTCCCAGAGACTTTCTTCAGCCCCACCAGGAGTCAGAACTCTATTCCACATGGAAGAATGGTCTCAGGAAGCTCTAGGCTGGCCACAGCAATGAGGTCTATGTCCTATGTCCACTGAGAGCAGTCTTCACCTTGTTTGACTGTGAGATGTGGCACAGAGGACATGGAATTCAGTCAGAGACATAGTAACAAATCTGCCCTCTAACTTGCTTCCTTTGATCTCCTGGACAAAGAGAGACACAATAACAGGATCATCTATTTCCAAGATCCTAGCATGCTCTGAGAAGAATAATTGATTATTGAACATTGCAGGACCTCCAGACTACACTTAAAAAATGCTTCCTGTCCCCACCATGAAGATTAGAAATGGAGAGACATGGGCCATCCCCCCAGCTCATACTGTAGATCCACCTCAGGAATTTATCGTCTCATACTACTTTGCATTTATCAACAAGCAAACAAAAAAACAAAAACAAAACAAACAAACAAAACAAGTAAGACTCAGTTGATGCCCACAAGAATTCCCTGAAATTTAGGAAGATGGAAATGCAACCTGCAGTGAGGACACAGTTAGGATGGCCTGGAGATTGGCAGGGAAATCATTATGGAGAATTTCATATGAAATCAACATGAAAGGAGACAGGAACCTGGTGAAGCTGAGAGAAAGGCGTCAACATCACAGGTTTTTGCTTTCATCTTTTGGGTGAATTTTGAGCAAAATCATTTGCATTTCAGTGTTAGTTCTGAGAGTCAGCCTTCAATTCCACTGCACGCTATTGTGTGAAGGTGTGCAAGGTGGTGGGAGAGATCGAAGGAGGGGCTGTGCTCTATGTAGCCCTGAGTTAACCTGAATATGGATACAGGATCAGTGGTCAAGGGATTCCACTGTCTTCAGTGTCTACAACTGTCTTCAGTCAATGGGAAATATCTGTTTTAGATGTTTCAGAAAAGAGTGAGTGAGCTTGGGAGGGACTCATGGTTAACCAGGACTGCCCCAGGTCTTTTTGATGCCTTGTGGCATTGAGGTGATTCCTGGTGTGTCACTGACGATGAAGGTGAGAGGCTAGATGTTAAGTGTCACAGCAACAGGACTTGAGCACTTTGGGTACAGATAAAAACTACCCAAGAGATAACAGCACCTTCTGTGGATCTTACTGGGGGTTCATACTCCACAGATGTATCCATGGAAGCCATTCTGAAGCTCTTTGGAGAATACTTCTTCAAGTTCTGTAAGATGTCTGGCTATGACAGGATGCTTCGGACATTGGGAGGAAATCTCACCGAGTTTATTGAAAACCTAGATGCCCTCCACAGTTACCTGGCATTGTCGTATCAGGTAAGGCCATCTGGGCTTTGCCTTCATGGTTCTGAGAAATTATTAAAAAAAAATAAATAAATAAAAGTCCTCCCCAGTGTTCCCAGCCGAGGAGCTGCACAACTCATGGCCTCTGGCATTAGTGGGCCCAGTAGCTCTCTAGGAAGAAAAACAGGAGGATAAATACCCACCGGCTTCCTTTATAAATGGGTTGACAAAAAGTCAGAGTTCTAGCCTTGTGGTTGGGGGTGGAGTACTTCTGAAGGTTGAGCAAAGACTTGGAATGAATCAGAGAAGTCAAACAATGGGAACAAGGTCTAGAAAACAGGTTGAGGTGGATTTTCACTCTTCTGGTTTCTTGGCCTGGGTAGAGCTGATAATAGCTTATGCAGCAAGATTAGGCCTGTGCAAGTATCAGAGGGAAAAGTTTGGCAGGACCAAGAGCCAGAGCTGGGAGCTACCCAACACTGATTAACCCATTGGGGTGATGGACTTGGGTATTAGAAAAGTAAATTCCCAACTGGGATATGTCCTCCTGGAGTTCACACCTTGCTGGTCTCCTTGGTAGAGTTTATTGGAAATTAAAATGCATAGATTTTTTTTATGCACCAGAATGCTTTATTGTAAATGTGGTGTATTCATCCATAGCATAAATAATAATTTATTATAATTTGTTAACTGTGTAAAAGCTTATTTTTATTTATTTGTTTGTTTGTTTAGTCTCCTCTCATATATTACATCTCACCCACAGTTTCACCTCCTTTCACCCCTCCCAGCTCTCCCTCTACTCCCCCAACCCCGGATCTACTGTTCCTCCATTTTCCTTCAGAACGGAGCAGGCATCCCAAGGCCACTGAGAATGGCATGACAGGTTATAGTAAGACTAGACACACAAACCCTCACATCAAGGCTGGACAAGGCCACCCAGTAGGAGGAAAAGGGTCCTGGGAGTAGGCAAAAGACTCAGAGACAGTCCTACTCCCACTGTTAGGAGTCCCACATGAATACCAAACTATACAACCATAAGATGTGTGCAGAGGACCTAGCGCAGACCCACACAGGATCTGTGATTGTCGCTTCAGTCTCTGTTAACCCCTATGAGCCTCACTTAGCTGATTCAAAGATTTTATTTTTATGTCCCTTTATAATTGACCAAGATCTTTCATTATTTCTATATTTTGTATTCATAAGCACTCTGGGTGGGTGGGTGGTCATAAGAATAAGATGGAACTGCACTTGCTAAGGAGCCCCCTCAACTGTTAAAATGGTAGAGGGAACATGCTTTTGTCCATCTTCAAGATCAAAACAGTATGAAAGCATTGTGTGTGTGTGTATGTGTGTTTGTGTGTGTGGTACGTGTATGCATTTGTGTGTGTTGTGTGTGTGTGTTTTGTGATATGTATATGGTATGTGCAGTGTGTGTATGTGTTTGTGTGTGTGTGGTGTATGTGTGGTATGTATGTTTGTGTGATATGTGTGGTATGTATGTGTATCTGTGTGATATGTATATGGTATGTATAGTGTGTGGATGTGTTTGCATGCATGTGGTGTGTGTGTGGTATGTGTATGTGTGTTTGTGTGTATGTGGTATGTGTATGTGTTTGTATGTGTGGTATGTGCGGTATGTGCATGTGTTTGTGTGTGTTGTATGTATGTAATGGGGCGTGGGCATGTGGAGATCAGATAACCTCAGGTGTCACTTCCCGCTTTCTATCTTGTTTGACACAAAGCCTCTTGTGGTTTGCTGTTGCATAGGCCAGCTAGCTGGACCCATATTATCCTGTCTTGTCCCCTCTTTTTGCCATAGGAGGTTTGGGATTACTATAGCAAGACCACTCCTGGTTTTATGTGGATTTTAGGAATTTGAACTCAGGTCCTCACCTCATACTTTCACAGCAAGGATTTTTTTTTTTTTTTTTCTCATTGAGTTATCCTGACAGCTCCTAAATAGTTATTGAGTGCCTACTGTGTATGAAGCACTTTGTAAAGAGATATTTGACACAGACAAAAATAGAAACCAAACAACCCACCTCACTGTGATGTGAAGGTGGAAAAGGCAACATAAAGTTCTGTAACATTGGAGCAGACACAGAAAAGGCATTTTGTAAACAATTACTTCTCCCACCTCCTTCTCTCTGTCCAGCACAGACATTTCCAATATCATAGAACTCACATGGCAACTGTGGTCAAATTTCTTTACCAAAGTATAGCCAGGATGGTATAAATAGTTAGACCATATCACCCTAACCCCACATGTGCACATACATACATACACTTCATGTAACACACACAAAGAGAGATGTAAACACACATTCATGCCAACATAACATACACTGTTGCTGCATGACAAAAACCTTTCCTGGAGCAATGCAACACATGTCTGCTTAGCCCAGATTGGGAGCCTGTGACAGACCAAAGCTTGGATACCACTAAAGTACGACTTGGTAAGCCAAGGAGTTTCATCAGAGTTACTTACTAGAATATGGGTGAGCTCAAAAGGTAGATTATGTTCCTCTCAAGTGGCTCAGTTATTCTAAACCTCTTCCAGGCAGCTGGGCTGGTCTCAGTCTTCTTTGTAGCATGGCTTATCTGAAAAAGACCCATCTTTATTGTTGACTCTGGGGGCGGGGGCTAGTGAGTTTCAGAAACTTCCTAAAGCTATTTTGAGTTGGTTTCTTACTGGCTTAAAGACCTTCCCTGAAGGAATCGGCCAGTGATGGTTCACTCCTTTAGTCCCAGCACTTGGGAGGGCAGAGGCCGGTAGATCTCTGTGAGTTTGAGGTCAGCCTGGTCTACAAAGTAAGTTCCAGGACAGGCTCCAAAGCTACAGAGAAACCTTGTCTCAAAAAACAAAACAAAACAAAACAAACAAAAAGCTTCCCTAAAGGGTGGAATCTTTCAATGGGAGGAAACTGATAATCTGCACACACTAATACAGTTCTAGAAATAAAAAACCAGGTATTTTAAATTCAAGAAACAATCCATTTTCTCTAGCAGGCCTGCACCATGAAGGATTGCAGCCCCTTTACTGAGAGCCTCCGCTTCTCCCCTAGTTTAGACCAAAGCCCAGGGTCTTGGGTGTTGAATTGCTGCTGAAAATGCAGTAGGGGAGCACCCCTCCCCTTCCGCTTCAGTCCTTCAGAGAGCCTCCCAGTAACCTTTTCCTCACCTATAAAGAGGGTGCAAAGGGTCTCCAGTTATTTCTGGACAAATAATGTTTCTTTTCGTATGTTCTTGAGGGTTTTAGTTTTTCAAGTGGAACCAACCCTCAGAACAAAAATGAGTTGATTATTTCCAGTTGCAAGGTCTCTGAGCCATTAATCTTCCCAAGTGAAAAGGCTCACATGGCTTGGTCACAGGCCAAGAATGGTGACAAATAACCCTTGGAGGTATATAGAAGCAGCATGGCATGGTGCTAAGGATCACGGAGGCTTAGCAATAGTTTTCTCATTCATCTTCTTTTTAACTTCCCTAGGTGAGGCTCAGTTGCAAAATGGAATAGGATATATATATATATATATATATATATATATATATATATATATATATAGAGAGAGAGAGAGAGAGAGAGAGAGAGAGAAACTGACTCAGGGTAAGCTACCTCAGCAGGAGCTGAAATGGTAGTGTTATGTGACTGGATGCGGACATAGTTCTAAGTGTGGTAATGTGTACATATTGTTGTAGTTCTGTGTGTGCTAATAGATAAATACTATTATAGTTCTCTGTGTGTATAGTAAAGGACACATACTATTGTAGTTCTGTGTGTGCTAATGGGTACATGCTATTGCTTCACACCACTTTAAAAATTATAGTTTATGACACAGCTATACCATTCTTGGGCATATACCCCAGGGATCTATGTAATTAGATTTACATATCCATGTTTATTGCTCTACTATGCCAACAGCCAAAACATCGAACCAGCCTAGATGCCCATCAACGGACAAAGGAAATAGTTACATATATACAGCTGAGTTTTTTTTTTTTTTTTTCAGTATAGAAAAGTAACATAATGACATTTTCAGGTAAATTGAACTGGAAATGATTATGTTAACTGAAATAAGCCAGACTCAGAAAAACAAGTGCTATGTGTTTTCTCCCATCTGCATACCTGGATTTTAAATTACATAGATATAGACCATGTGTTGTGGCTTGCTCCTTTAATCTCAGCATTCAAGAGGCAGAGGTGAGAGGATTTCCGTGAGTTTGAAGTCAGCCTGGTCTATATAGTGAATTCTAAACCAACCTTGGTTACATAGTGAGATCCTGCCTCAAAAATAAAATGTACATGGAAGGTCTGGAGTGACATCACAATGACTAAGGAAGCATACTGCTCTTTCAGAGGACCTGGACTCACTTTCCTGCACTGACATGGCAACTCACAACCATCTGCAACTCCAGTTCCAGAGGATCCAAAACCCTCTCTGGCCCCACGGGCACCAGCCACACATGTGATACACACACATACACACACAAGCAACGAATATTTTTAAATTACCTATGTGTGTATGTGTACACACGTAAATTAATGTGTATATGTGTAATCATCACATAATAGAAATTGGATCATGAAAGGAACAAGAGATCTTAAGGGAGGTGGGACGTAGAGCTGATGGGTAATTAAGCCAGCGGGTGTAAATGAGGTAGAAAGGGAGCCAGCTGGAAGGGGTGTAGAGCCAGTCTTGGAGGGGACTGAATAAGAATAAAACATGGTATATAAAGATGCTGTGGCTAAACTCGTTATTTTGTATGCTAACCTAGAGAAATAAAAATGTATTGTGAGCATATAAAATTGTAATATAAACAATGTGTTCTCCCTCTTGGGGAAATGTGCCGTGTCTGTTCATTAGGAAATGAACGCGCCATCCTTTCGCGTAGAGGGAGGAGCTGATGGGACAATGCTTCTCCATTACTACTCGGACAGAAGTGGCCTGTGCCACATTGTACCAGGTAGGAAAGGGATCACCCCACCTCAGAGTTCTTTTGGGTGGCCATACCCCCCTGTGAGGAGGGCACCCCACCTCCTATGGTGACCCACTTCTTTGTCATCATCTTGAGGAAGGATCTGGAGAATTTTAGAGTAATTTACAGAACATCAGAAGAAGACATGATCTTTAACATCTGCATGGTTGCTTGCACAGCTGTGATAACTCTGTGGAGATTTTTCTATCTATTGAGTCTTTTAAAGAATTCAGCATTGTAGAAAAGTCTTGGTATTTAGTCTGCTTTTGTTTTACTTTACACCCAAATGCCTCCTGTATTCTAAGTGCACACACTCCTCCATGGAAGTGCATCTGCCCTAAAACACGTGGGTGTTTCATGCCTTACTCCCTTTCACTGCCCCCACTGCTGAGTTTGTAGTTGTTGCTGATCCTTTCCTAATTGAGATACTGTGATGGGCAGCTTCATTTTTGCTTTCTTTATATTTTATATTTCACCCCTAGATGGGTTCCCAGAACAATAGCTTTGAACACGCGAGCTTTAATGAATTTCCAGTAGAATTTTCTTCCATTTACAGAGTTTGTCTAATGAGTTAGATGTCTTCATGAAATGAAAGCATGAATGGATGCTGAAGTATAAATTATAATGACAGGAACATATTTAGTATTCAGACTCTCAAAACTTAAATTCCTGCACACTCTTCCCCCTGAGCCAGAATAGACACTGGCATAGTGAGCTGAGGAAAAATCATGAAATTGTACAACTGGATATGTTAGTGATGCTTGGCAGTGTGCTGTCTTCTGCCATTCCTCACCCACAGGTGTCATTCTGCTGCAGGCATCATTGAAGCTGTGGCCAAGGACTTTTTTGACACTGATGTGGCCATGAGTATCCTTGACATGAATGAAGAGGTGGAGAGGACAGGAAAAAAAGAGCATGTTGTGTTTCTGGTTGTGCAGAAGGCTCGAAGACAGATGAGAAGGACAAAGGCAAGCCGGCCACAAAACAGTGAAGACACCCAGATGGATCAAGAGGTACTGGATTTGCTGTGTCTTCAGCTTCCCTAGGACAGGCTACTTGTTCTGGAACAGTCTAAGCAAACAGCACAAATAAATGGGCCTTAAGCCATGGAATTCAAGGCAAGCTTTCCAAGGCCTGACTTTAGTGACACCATGGACCAGCTCATTCTGAGTTGTGATGGGCTGCCATTTGTAGGATCCTTTGCCACACCACACACCTCTTTCTATCCAATGTGACTAGAACCCTGCCCCTTAGTTGTGGCAATCAAAATTGTTTCCAGGCATTGCCAATGTTCCTAGACTAGAGGTGGGGAGGTAAAAATCACTTCTAGTGAGAGCCAAAACTCAAGGTTAACTTAATGCAGACTTTCTATGATAGACCTTAACCTGTAAAATGTTCACATATAAAGTTGTTAAAGCTGGATATAGGGATACTGAGGCAGGATGATTGCTTTGAGTTTGAGGCAAGTCTGGGATGAAGAATAAGAACCCTTTCTTAAAATCTCAACAACAAACCAAGAAAAGGATTTGAAGTTGGAATTTGGTATCTTCCTTTGTAATCCTCTTTTGATGACTGGACCTTTCAGGTCCTCAGTGCCCACTTAGCAGGTGGAACCTGTTACAGGTCCATCATGAAGTCAAGATCCGATCCTTGACCACCACAGTTGCAGCACATAAGGTAATCATTGCCAGTTTAGACGCCACAACTGTTAGATTAAAATCTCTCTGAATCCATGAAGCCTGTTCAAACACACAGACAGGACTGTGATTCCCAGAGCTCAGGGGTTACATCTTAGAGCACATAGTTTTCAGGGTCCACTCACAAGAGTGCTCAACCCCAGGAAGCATGCTGTGGGTTCTTTGAAAGTGATAGAGATGTTCTCTATTCTTGGTGAGCTTGCCTCAGGTTCTAGGGTCACAGATAAATAGCAGACACCAAAGAGCCAGTAGATTCTGAGTTTGTTAATCTCACATCTGAGAAGAAGAAGGGAACTGGGATAAGGGGTAAGCAGAATGAACACAGGTTTATGAAGGAAACATGAGAAAGAGCCCTTCTGATTGCAGAAGGGCTCCATGGGAGGAGTACTGACACTCTGCCTGCCTACTAAATCTTATGGTGGGAACTGGATAGATTCTGGGATTATCTGTATTGGACCTGGTTATTTTTAAATGTATCAGCCAGTCTGAACCAATAAGGAGTCCACAAACCTGATGGGAGATGCCATTCTGTAAATATGTTTCTCTTATTGGTTAATGAATAAAGCACTGTTGGCAAATAGGAAAGCAAGATAGGTGGGACTAGGAGACAGGGAGGATTCTGGGAGATGTAGTGAGGAGATTCAAGATGTAAGGTCTTGAAAGACGATGTCTGGACTCTCTCTCTAGTAAGATAAGACCACATGGAAACACTTAGATTGATAGAAATAGATTAATATTTAAGACAGAGCTAGCCAATAAGAAACACTAGTAACAGGCTAACAGCATTATATCTAATACAGCATCTCTGTGTGCTATTTGGGGCTGACACGGCTGTGGGACCAGGCTGGCAGGAAAACTGCTTGTAACACAAACCCTCTGCACAATCCCTTGGCCCAAGTGGAGAGTGATTCACGATCTAGGGGAGTGTTATGTGTGCTGTGTGAGAGCTGTGCATTTATTGCCTAGGAGAGCCATCTCCTGTCTCAAGTGGCTGCTCATTCTGTGTATGCGCATCTTCCCCTGGGAAATGTTTCTTGTCATAGTTAACTAACCCATGACTATACATCTTCAGTTGCTACAACTCTTTTGCTGCATAAAGGGACACTGTGGTGAGCATCCCTCTGCTTTCACCACATTTTGTATTTAACCTTGGGACATAGTCTCAGATTAACTCTTAGGAAATCACTACCCTCTAAAGCACTTCCTGAAGATCTTGTAAAAATATCTTGTATCCTTTGATAGAGAAATGGATTGAGGATTAACTAACAAATATGCCTTGGAGCTCCAGGCTCTTGGTAGAACTGATCTTGCAAGCCCTCACACTGTCCCTCCAGCTGCCAACACTCTTCAGCGCACAAAGATGGAGCCAGCAGCAGCAGACAGGGCTTTTTCATCTCCAGTCCTGTGACCAGGTGCCTGTGCTTCCCTTCCTGCCCCCTGCAGGCTCTCAAGACAACACTCCTTAGGATGAAGGAGAAAGACTTAAGCAGCTCTGTTTGCCCTGGGGGGAAATATCACTGGGGTTCCAGAGCATCAGTCATGTTTGAGAAAGGTAAGTGTGATGTTCTCCTGGACCCAGTGTTTAGATAACAACTGCCCTGTTTGCAGGGGAAGGAGCCCCAATACACAAATAAGGCAAAACTCTCTGCAAATTTGAGGCCTCTGATTCCCTCTGAGCTTGAATTTGGTATCTGTGGTTTTTAACTTTAAAAAATCAGCTTCTAACTTGCCACACAACAGCTCTTTTGATTGTGCTGGGTAGCATGGAGACACCATCATCTCTGTAATCAGAAAAGCCACTGGCTTGGACTCAGTCCCAGGGGGTGACCATGAAGAGGAGGCTGGGCACAGATGTCCTGGGCACAGTGAACTCTGCATCCCTTTTGGATCCAGGCCTTCTTAACTGGGGTGTGTTTCTGGACTGGAAATCTGTGGCTAACCACAGCCAGCCAGCAGTACAAAGAAGGGCAGAGGGCAAGAATCAAGAAAGCACATTTCTGTCTCTGTCTCTGAGGAGCTGTGACGAGGGACAATTGCTGTCCAGCTTTCTATTCACAGAGTAAAGGTAGGCTTGACACATTGGGTCTTTGGACACTGGGCTAATCTGGCCCCCAGCACCTGACACTCAGGTCAGAATCAGAGCTCTGACCCAGTGGAAGAAGGCAGCTAGATGCTCCTTGCCTGGTAGGTCAAATGACAGGCATCTGGGAGAGGGTCTGCAGGGCTCAAAGAGCTGCATTCTGAGTCCTTCAAGCTGTGGCAAACACAACTGACATCCTTTGTCTGGGAGATTTTCATATCAAAAAGGCTCCATTGAGGGTCTGCACCCCCTGCCAAATAGGACTGTTGGTTAAATTTTCACGTGCCACCCTAAACTGTCAGTCTAAAAAGCTCCATGGCAAATGTCCCTGATGCCGGGCAGGGCACACACTCACTCCTCTGCTGGCTCATTGTCTGCTTGTCACCATTTCAATGGTAGTTCTGTTTTCATGGTGAGACATACTCAATTGGCCCAGAAACTAACTCTTCAGCAGCGGGCAGAAACTTGGCAGGGGGCAGGAGGGCTTCTCAACCTGGTCACAAATTTTCTGTTTGTTTTAATTTGGAGGATAATTGCTGAGGCCATCTGGAGATGCTGAGGGAGCCTGTGCTAAGGAGTGGGAATCACACTTTGCTTGTGACATGCTTAAGATTCCAACCCTGTCCAATGGCTCTGCTAGGGCCTCTCACTAGGGCTTTCTTTCTGTGTGTCTAGGGCCCCTCAGGAACACCTTCCAGCCTGTCTATCCAGAGAGACTGTGGGTTGAAGAGGAGATGTTCTGCAATGCTTTTCCTTTCCACCTTGTTTTTGATGAAACAGTAAGAGCCCCATTCCCTCAGAAGCTTGGGCTTGGGGCTAAACCAGGGATGGGGAGTTCAATTCATTATATCTGGTAAGGATTTCGATCCCTGAGTTCATGGGGTTTAAGAGATTAGACTTTTCCCTGGAGGGTCCACTGACTTCATTTCATGTTCTAGACCCTTCTGAAATGCACACTCTTCCTCGGGTTAAATATAGCATGGAAGTTGAACCCAATGATTAAATGGGAAAGTTTATGATCAGAAAGAAAGGCTGGAGGAAGACTTCAAAATTCACTTCAGAAAGAGGCGCTGGAAGGCACCCTATAGCCATGGTCCTACACATGATCTGCCACCCCCCTACGGGCACAGTTGATTCTCAATCCCATCCTGTTTCACTTCCTGTTGTGTTCTGGGGGGTTGGGGATGGGGGTTTGAGCACCCCCATTTAATTTGATTGCTATCAATTTCCCAGGATAAAATACCTTTCAACTGGAGCTTGGGTATGATGGCACACATCTATAATCACAGCACTCAGGAGGCTGAGGCAAGAGTTAAGTTCAAGGTCAGCCTGGGCTGCATGGAGAGAGATAACCTCAAACAAAAACAGATGTAGATAGAAGATACAGATGTGAGAACTGAGTTGGTTTTTTGTTTTGTTTTGTTTTGTTTTGTTTTTTTCATTTAAAGGGCATGAGGGCATGTAGGCAAGGTGAATTTGGACACATATCTGTTAAAATGGTCAGCCATTATGATTTCCTCTAGTGTTTATTGGAATTCATATACATATCACCTGCCAGCTGACTGTTCAGCATGAACTCTATGTCATGTAGTCACTGAGTATAGTGTCTTCCCTCAGAGAAGTGATGGCATCATGACAGTAAATAAACACCCATAGGTGGAAACCAGAATTATAAGTCAATGAATGCCAACAGTTTTTCAATGCCATAACATTACTCATGCCACTGTTTTCAATTCAATCTGCTCTAGATACTCCCTTCCCTTTCATCTTTTGGGTATGGAATAACAGAAATTGAATGGTACATGAAGTTGATTTCTGTACTGGGATTGGACATAGGATATTAAGTTTTCCATTGCCCGCTCCATCTGTGCATTGTCTGGCCAGAGCAGAGAAACATTGCCCTAATCCCAGGATGGACTGGTGACAGGTCCAGACTTTTGCTAGTTTATGCTAGGGTCAGGGGTTGTGTGAGGGATGGGGAGAGATAGCACAGAATCAAGAACTATTGGCTGTCTTGAAAGCCTTAATGCCTCTTACAGTCAGAATATGCTTTTGAGCAGCCCAAGGCTATTTCATTCCTCTTCCTACATTGGCTGCAGATTTAACTATTTAAGAAAGTGATAGCTTTGTTATGTTTACTCCATTGCTGATCCTCCTCCCCAATGAGTCATGAAGCAAAGCCCCAATGTCGTATCTAAGGGAAAGCCAATGGTGGAGGTTACTTCCTGATCTCCAGACTGCCATGTGGTCTTTATGGATAGCTAAGGGTCAAGCAAGCTGGAGTGAATATTCAGAAGTATGTCCCTGGACTCCTAACCCAGAAGTTTGGAATGAATGAGTATTTCTCCATCGTCCACCCTCAAGTTACCTTCAGCATCTCCAGCATCTGCAAGTTCATTAACAGTCAATTTGTCTTGAAGACACGAAGAGAAATGATGCCTAAAGCATGGAAGAGCCAGCCAACACTCAAACTCCGAGGTTAGAGGCCATGTCTTTCCCTTCTGCCTGTTAGATCAGCAAGAATTGGAGGACAGCATTTCAACCAGGAAAGGGACTACATTGAAAACAAGGCTGTTTTTTGTTTGTTTGTTTTGATTGTTTTCTGATATTTTTACTTGGCCTGATCAGTAAGTAACATTTTATATTTTCAATCATTTCTGGTTTAGACATAAAGGACCATGATATATATATATATATATATATATATATATATATATATATATATATATATGCCCATAAACATACTATATAGAAATACATATATATTCCAACACTATATGCTTTGAGTTTCTCTCTGTTTAAGTTGATGTTGGCTGTGGACTTGCTATAAACTGCCTTTATTATGTTGAGGTATGTCCCTTGTATCCCTAGTCACTCTAGGACTTTTATCATTGTCAAAGGCCTTTTCTGTGTTGAATCAGATTATAATGTGATTTTTGCCTTTCAGTCTCTTATAATGGTGCGTTACATTTATTGATTTGTGCATGTTGAGTCATCCCTGCATCTCTGGGATGAAACCAACTTGATGATGGTAGATAATCTTTTTGATGTTATGGGTTTGATTTGCAAGTGTTTTATTAAGAAATTTTGCATCTATATTCTTAAGGGAAATTGGCCCATAATTTATGTTGGCTCTTTGTGAGGCTTTGCTTTCATGTACTAGTGACCTTGCAAAAAGAATTGAGAAATGTTCCTTCAGTTTCTACTTTGTGGAATAATTTGAGGGTTATTGTTGTTAATTCTTCTTTGATGGCCTGAGAGAATTATACACAAAATCCATCTAGCCCTGTGCTTTTGTTGTTATTGGGAGACTTGTACTGGCTGCTTCTGTTTCACTAGGGCTTATGAGTCTGTTTAAATTGCTTATGGGGAATTTCTTTTCTTGTTCTATCTATTTGGTGTTCTGTATGCTTCTTGTACATTGATAGGCATGCCTTTCTAAACACTGGAGAAATGTTCTTCTATGATTCCTGTGCTTTTGACCTGGGTTTATTTTCCCTCTTCTCTCCTTGTTATTCATAAATTCGGTCTTTGCATGATGCACCATTTTTCCTGGATAATTTGTGCCTGGATGTTTTTAGATTTAACATTTTCTTTGGCTGAGCTGTCTATTTCTTTCGTGTCTTTAATAGCTAAGTTTCCTTCCTTCCTTTCTCTCTTCTTTGTGAGATAATATCTCTAAACTCGTGATGATCCTCCTGCCTTTCAAGCTCTGGGATTATAGGCATATGCCAATACCATCATTTCTAGTCCATTTATTAATTTATTTGCTAAAATGTTTATTCAAGTCTTTTGTCCGTATTTTAATGTATGTAAGAGAGAAGTGGTTCTTTTTGTATCTGGTTGTTAACTAACTCCTTAAGAGACAGATGATTCACACATATGTTCTCTTATGTTCTCTCGTCCTATGGGTTGTCCCTGGTTTATTGTTTGTGTTCTTTGATGCATAGAAGTTTTAAATTGTAATGTAGTTTAATTCCTTTATACTTCTCTTTCTGGCCATGCTCTTGGTGTCACAGCCACAAAATCACTGACACAACCAAAGCTATTTTCCTCTGTTTTATTCTAAGTATTTCATAGTTTTACTCTTTTTTTTTTTTGAAACATATGAAGTTGTTTAATTAGGTTGATAGCAATTTAGAAAACCAGTTTGTGAGAATACATGCATTTGTCAGAGAGAACTGAGACCTCAGGTAGCCCTGAAGCTGAGGAACAGCTTTGATCTTTGGCAAAAGCTGTGAGTCCATGGCTGCTCTGTAATCTCCTATTTCTCCTTCTCCTTCAAAGATCTTGCCCTCCTGGTGCCTGGGCTTGTGCAACTGCTTCTTCTCGAAATAAGTAAGCATCAGTCAGGTGTCTGGGGATCTTAACTTGGCTGATATCAACTTTTGTAGAGGTGGCGATGACAAATTTTCTGGTGTGGTCTTCGCAGAGGAACTCTGTTGAGGGCAAGAGGTCCCATCACAAATAGCAAGCGCTGCCCAGCTGCTTCAGGAAAACCACCATCTTGCCTCTGTGGCGCCTGGTGAGGATGATCAGGACTGTCCCGGGAGTGATGCTGGCACGAAGCTTTCCCACATGCTGACTGAAGGGCTTTTTGCCATGGCTCAGCAGCTTCCGAGCAACATCTTCAGTAGGGTAATACCGGGGCGTTTTTCGAAGCTTAACCACCCGGGTACCACCATCCTTGTCACCACCAACTGGTTTGGTGACTGTAGCAATGGCCTCCTCCTTTTTCTTCTTCTTTTCAACCTTAGTTTTTGCAGCTGAGTATTTTCTTATGTACAGGGCCTTTCTGGAATACATGCAGATCTGGAGTACCTGCCAATTCCTCTAACCAGGACAGGGTTCCCGCTGCAATGCGGCTTCCCCTTCTTGGGCTTTTTAACCTTAGGGTCACCCTTTTTGGCTGCCTCAGCAGCACGAGCATCTGTGGCATCCCCACCAGCCTTCTTGGCTGTAGGTTTTTTTCTCTTTTTTGTCAGGCTTCTAGGCTTTTTCGCCCACCATCTTGCAAGATGGGAAAAAGCCATATTTTTACTCTTATGCTTAGGCCTTAAGCCCAGTGTGAGTACATTTTTATACCTGCTCTGAGGGGCACCTTGAGCTGCCCATGAGACTCATAATCAATCAATCTATATATGTGTGTGTGTGTGTGTGTGTGTGTATACATACATACATATATATATATATATATATATATATATATATATATAAATTGAGCTGAGAAAAAATATTCTGAAAGCTCAAGTTAGTCATAAAGTGTAGTGATAAGGACATAACTGAAACAGTCTGAGAAAACGCTGAAGGAAGACCCCAGACTCAAATAGAATGTAAAAGCAAAGAGTGCTTATTATACCAGGGTATGTGGGGTCTGTCATCTGTACAAAATGATGACAACCCGAGAGGAGTGTGCAAGCTCATTTTAAGCACAGCTAAGGGAAGTTTCAGTGACAGTTAGGCCATCTCAAATAAGATTGATAAAGCAAGCAGAGGTTACATTAGTATCCTTTTAATTGGCTGAGATTTAGTCTTATCGTTTTTTGGACTTGGGGGTAAGTCTGGATATGACTCAGAAGGGGACTGCTGGATTTGTTTTTGAGAATGTGAAGCTGACCTGACTTAGGCCTGTGTTTGTTTTCTCCCTTGTCCTGAATGCAAGGCTATTGTGGATAAATGGCCCTCTGTGGGAAAGCCACCTGTTTTTCCCTTCCCAGAGAATTGCAACCTAAACTCAGTTGGGAGACTTGGAGAGTTTAACCCCTTCACTGACAGATGAAGACCTGAACTCTGTCATGCATTTGGAAACACTTTAAAAGGTCTTTTGTGGATACTATTTGAGGTTTGAATGGCAAGACTAGAAGCGTGTCAAAGAGTGGATCGTGGTTTAGGGAAATGGAGTCTGGCAGGCAGGTGATGGCCATTGCTAGGGTGCAGGTGAGAGAGTTTAGGTGTGAGATTTGCTTAGGCAGGGGTCTAGGGTGACAATGAGGACGAACCCACAACATAATAAGGTGGGACATGGTTATTAGATGTTATGAGATAATATTTAGGACAATTATTATCATTCTTGCTTGGAAATTGGTAAGGAAGGTGTGAGGAACTGAGCAATGATGTGACTAAAATCCTCAAGGGCAAGAATTTTGTCAGTTCACATCACCATGTATCCTGACACCTACCGTGTGCCAGGTCGACAGTTGGTACGTAATACATAAGTGACAAAAGAATCCATCATAGAGAGCATTTGTAGAGATGGTGGAAAGTGAGATGCAGACATATGTAAACAAGCATCTAACAGGGAGCAGAGGAAGCAACCAACACAGCTGCTACATCATCCTGGAGGGTGACTGAGAAACGAGTATCAAGAGCTTTAAGACGTAGCATATTTTTGTCTAAGCAATACCATATGCATGAGTGTATCCTTTAACAAAACAGCCACAGGTATACATAAAGAGGTGTCAAACTTGTTTGTAGCAGTATTGTTTATAGACAGATATGCTAGACATAATGCAATCAATGCTGGCTTATTTAAATAAAACACCACCAGTAATATAGCCAGCAAAACTTGTGCTGTATATCTGTACTAAATACCGTGGGAAAATATGTTTTCATGTGAAAAATTCAGATTGCAAATAGATACCAGATAGTCCCACTTTGGGTAATACAGAATATTAAGAGCATTTTATATCTGAAGTATTATTATTTTTGATGATTTTCATTATTGTGCTTGTAGTCCCTCTTTGAGTAATACAGACTATTAAGAGTCAATTTGTATCTGCAATATGATTAATATAGATGACATTCATTCTTCTCATGCATTTTCCTTTTTTGTAATGAAGGGGCACTGCTTTTATGATACATTAATAATTATATATTAAATATATATTATATGTTTATATAATATATATTATATATCAAATAATAATTATATATTAAAGAAATGCACAATTTGAACCTGGGAAACAAACTCTCTTAGGAGACTCAGATTTATTGTCATTGTGATATAGGACACAGCTGGATAATGTTAAAAGAAAAAAAAAAAACCCAGACAGGTATGGTGGCTAATACATCTAATACCAGCACTTGGGAAGTTGAGACAGGAGAATAGCCATGAGTGAAAGACCAGCCTAGGCTACAGAGGGGTCACCCAGAAGTTAAGAGCACTTGATTTTGCAGAGGACCCAAATTCAGTTCCCAATAACCACATCAGATGGCCCACAACTGGCTGTAACTCTAGTTCCAGGGCATCTGACAATCTGACACATCAACACCCAAAATGGGAACATAAACACACAAACCTACATGCAAATAAAAGAATTTAAGAAATAATCAGAGGGAGAGAGAGAACCTGAACTCAAAGTCTTTGACAACGCAACATTTCAGAAAGAAAGAGGGAAAGGGTAGACACAGACCAAAGAAAAACTTCCAATAAGTAGAGCAAATCCAGAGAGAAATCAGTGGTAGAAAGCCTCAGGAAGCAACATTTCCAGAGGGAAGGCTAGGTTGACACCTAAGACAGTAGAAGAGCAAAGAAAAGAGAAGACCTAACAGCTGGTGTTGGCACCTCAAGCTCAGACAGAACCCCAGTCACAGAAGAGCCACTGTGCAGAGAGTGGCAGATGAGTGAGTGGAGACAGGAATAAGGATTATTCTTGTGACACATGGTTGAAAAGCAGGGGGCAGGCTGTGCAGAGGCCAAAGGGCATGTGGTACAGGTGATGCTTGCCTCTTGTTCCATGTTGGACATTCTGTGTCATCGCATTCCTCTCTGTGATGGGCAGGCCAGATGATCTGGATGGAGTCTCTGCAGTGCATGATCTTCATGTGTTCTCCAAAGCTCCGCAGCCTGCAAGAACTAGAAGAGAGCAAGATGCATCTTTCAGACATCGCTCCCCATGATACCACCAGGGATCTCATCCTCCTCAACCAGCAGAGGCTGGCAGAGATGGAGCTGTCCCGCCAGCTGGAGATAAAGAAGGAGGAGTTACGCGTCCTCTCTAAGCACCTGGCCATCGAAAAGAAGAAGACAGAGACCTTGCTGTATGCAATGCTGCCTGAACATGTGGCCAACCAGCTCAAGGAGGGCAGAAAGGTGGCTGCAGGTAAGGTTCCCTTCTTTCTACAGTGTCCTTGCAGTATAGGGAGGATCATGCTCATGCTGAGGGATGTGGACTTTGAACCTAGGCAGATTTGGGCTTGATTTATGGCATCACCTGGGGTTAAGTGGTTAACACATCTCCTTCATTTCTGTTCTCTATACTGAAGATAATAAAAACAACACAAGAATGGACTGTGGATTATTTCCAGAGTACCACAAGGACAAGGAAGCTCTGGGGGTAGTAATGATTCTGGGATCTTATAGAAAATGAAATTCTTTGTTATTTTATAGACAGTGAAGTTTCACTGAAGTGTGTGTGTGTGCATGTGTGTGGTGTGTAGACGAGTGTGCCTGTTGGTACATGTGCTAACATGGAGGTCAGAGATGGCTGTCTCTTTCTAGTCTTTTCTGTCTTATTCCTTTGAGACATGGCCTCTCCCTGTTACTAGACCTATGTTAGAGGCCAGCAGGCCTCAGGAATCCTCCAGTATTTACCCCTCACCACATCCAGGTATTTGGGCATCTGTTTATGTCTTTTTTATGTGGGTGTTGGGATTGAAATTGGGCCCTCATGCTCACACAGTAAGCAGTCTTACCCTCTTAGCCATCTTCCTACTCCTAAATTAATTTTCCTTATAGTAGAGATGGCTTGACCCATGCAACATATGCCAGCTTTGACTGTGATGTAGTGAAGAAGGGGAGGGAAGACCAGGGGCTAATCACACAGCCATTGATGAGCAAGGCCCGTGCTGAGGCTGGGTGCGGGGGGACCAGTATGATTCCATCCTGAGGATAAATGGTGAGGGCTCTGAGGTTGCTGTAACATCAAAACATGTTATAATTTATTTCAAAATGAAATAGAGAGTAGACAGTATGGCTCAGTTGGTAAGAGCACTTGTTCTACAAACATGAAGACCTGAGTTCAAATCCCCATTACCCCCATAAAGAGCAGTGCATGAGCACACAGAATCTTGAGTATCCACATAAAAAGCTGGGCATGGCTGCACGTACCTAGAACCCCAGCACTGGGGATGGAGGAGGCAGAGACAGGAAGATGGAAGAGCTTGTTGGCCAGCCAGCCTAGCTGAAAAGGGGAGCTCCTGCTCCAGTAAGAGACCTTGTTTCAAGACAGTAAGTCAGAGAGCAGTAGAGGAAGGTAGCCATTCTGACTTCTGGCCTGTGGGCTCATGTATATGAACTCTCATGTATATGCAATGCACACACACACACCAGAAAGAAGATCAGGCCTGAGGCAATGGTACTAGTGTCAGTTTAGAAATGTTGAGAGTGTGAGATATCTTCAGGACTTCACATACGAAGAGCAGCAAGTGGTTCAGAACTGTAGGCAGACCTGAAGGGAGAGTTCTAGCATAGAACTATATAGGTCTAGAATCTACTGTACTGTGGGTGGTAGCTAATCATAGGCTCTGTGCATGATGTAGGATCATCTGGTTAGTTTTTGTCAAGTTGACACAAACTAAAGTCATCTGGGACGAGGGAAGCTCAGTGGAGGAATTGTCTCCATCAGATTGGCTTGTGGCATGCCTGTGGGGTGTTTTCTTGGCTCACTGTGGGTGATACTATCTCTGAGCATGTGGCCCTAGGTTGTGTCAGAAAGGTTGCCTGGAAGTTTGGAAGCAAGCAGGCAAGCAGTGTCTGCCTGTGGTCTCTACTTCAGTTCCTGCTCAGCTTTCCTCAGTGATAGATGGCTACCTGGGAATTGTAAGAGGAAACAACCCCGTTCTTCCCACGTTGGTTTTAGTTGGTGTTTCATGACAGCAGAGGAGAAACAAACTAAAACTAAGGCAAGAGGAGAAGATGGTAGGAAACAGCTAACATTTAAGAATGAGCAAACCAAAGACATAAAGCAAAATGAACTCAGTGCTATTTTTAGAGATGTTTGGTCTCATGTTGCTTTTTTTGTTTTTTAACTGTACTGGCATTTTGCTTATACAACATGGTTTCTAATTTTGTGTTTTTATGGGTGTCTGAGTGTGTCTGAGTGTGTAGATGTTTGTTGTGTTTTTTGTGCTTTTAAAATATGTTTGTTTGTTTTGTTTTATTCTGGTTCATTTGCTTTTTGCTTGCCTGCTTGTGTTCTAAAGAGAGAATGAAGGTGTGGAGTTGGATGGGCAGGGAAGTGGGAAGGATCTGGGAGTAGATGAGGGAGAAGAAACTGTGATCAGGACTTATTGTATGGAAAAACCAAAACCAAAAACCCTTACTTTCAATTTTTAAAAAATGGCCATAAGGAACAAGAAAAAAATTTAAAAATGAGCAAGATGAGAAGGCTGAGAACAGAAGCGCGAAGGGTAGAGTCACGTGAAGGGAGGTCAGTGCCCGACGGACAAACAAACAGTGCAGAAGGCACCCACTGTGTTCCAGGTTTCAGCTGTCCACTTAGTCAGTACATATTTACTGAGCATCTACCCATGCCAAGCCCTGCTCTATATGTTAGCATGCAGCAGGTGTCAGTACTAATAGTCTCCCACCTTAGTTCTCACTGAGATAAAGTGTGCACCAGACAAAGAGACGGCAGATGTGCAGGCTCCAAGGCAGCATGGCTAGATTAGAGCAAGCCAGAAGGAATCCTGGAGACATAAGGTCAGGGGTAGCATGGACAGAGCAGGGTCCCATTCGTAGGGTATGCTAAGGATTAAAAAGTGAGTATTAACAAGCCCGTTGTCTGCCATGTAGAAATTAGTATAACTGGGGACCATGGTAGATGAGGGAAAGGAATAGGAGAATGTGACAGCTCTGCCAGCCTACCAAGACACACTCCTGCAGACCCAGTGCTGCCATTTCTGTAGTTCAGGTTCAGCTTTTGGACCCAAGGAACCATTTCTCTTAACCCACAACACTTGTCACTTCTCAGTGGGAGCATTTGCTTACTCATATTCCTGCCTCCACCACTAGCTGGGGAGCTACCTAAGGCCTGGAGCTCTTTCTGTTTATTTCGTACAATATGATTCTTGTGGAACAATGACTATCCCACAGCAGGGACTCGATGTATGTGCTCATATCTGTTGACTAAAAGGGGAACAGTGGATGGCATCAGCTCCTTTCCCCAGGATGAAGGCAGGCTTGGTCTTCAAAAGGCACTGAACTAAAAGTTCATAGAATTATTATTCCGTATCCTTGGTGACCACTGACATCATTTCTGTTGCAGGAGAATTTGAAACATGTACAATCCTTTTCAGTGATGTGGTGACATTTACCAACATCTGTGCGGCCTGTGAACCTATCCAAATAGTGAATATGCTGAATGCCATGTACTCCAAGTTTGACAGACTAACCAGTGTTCACGAGGTCTACAAAGTAAGTGTATGTGTGGTGGGCCTGCTTCTGGAATCAGGCCAGGAAGAAAGCACTTGAGCCTGTCTTCCCTTACTGCATCTGCACCAGTTTGAAAAGGAGAGGCTCACAGGGAATGAGAAGTGCTTAGGAATCCTTTTACAATACCCATGCTCAGATGGTGCTTTTGTACCCAGGAGCAGTAATCACCACTTTCCCAGGCATCAGTCTTCTGCTCAGCAGAGTTTCAGCCATATATTTCATTATCTAATGTAGGACATCATATGACTACCCAGGAACTTCATCTTCTCTGAGACTCATTTTCACTAAAAGCAGATAGGGGTCTGGCTCAGAGATAAGTGTTTCCCTAGCTATTTATGTGAGACCCTGAGTTCCGTCTTTGACACCTAAAGGAAAACAAATCAAAATCAAAAAGATCTCTTGGCTGTCTTGTGTTCATTTTCCTGTGTTTCTTCCTGCACCTCATCTTCCCAGCAGAGAATCAATAGCTTAAAAAGCTCTTGTTGTCAAAGTATGGAAAATAACAGTTTGGTGAGACATGAAGGAAACTCATTGAACACTTTTTTTTTTCCCTGTCAGGTGGAAACAATAGGTGATGCTTACATGGTGGTAGGTGGAGTTCCAGTGCCTGTTGAGAGCCATGCTCAGAGAGTCGCTAATTTTGCTTTGGGGATGAGAATTTCCGCAGAAGAAGTGATGAATCCTGTTACTGGAGAGCCCATCCAGGTAGGGAGCAAAGCAACACTTCCGTTGGGACGAAATGTAACATACAAGAGTAAAGCTCTAGTCCACTTAGGTCAGGTTTGGGCTATGCTGCACCATGTACATCACATCATCTATCAAAAGTCTTGTCTTCTCCTGTTTATTCTCCTAAGCAGGAATGCTATGAAGAAGGCTCAGCTTTCCCGGGCTCCAGAGCAGGCTGTTTGCTCTTGAGATTTCCCTGGGACTCCCGGATACTCTTCTTTGTAATAGGACAGTGCTGGGCACAACTCATTAGTGATTCCTGCTTTTTTTGCTCAGGCATCACTGCAGGTGTCTTGGCTTTACTGAGCAGCCAGAGAGTCCTGCTTGGGGAAATGCATGCCCAGCATGCCCCTGATAGCTCAGAGCTCTGCTGAGGCGGGTACCATTACTGATATGAATGGAGAACTGGGGTATCAGCCTTGGACAATTTGGGGCAGTTTGGGTGTGGAAAAAATTAAAAATGTATTTAATTTATGACACAAGGTGGCACTTAACCTTTATGTGTTTTACCTGGAAGGAATGAAAACGTGTTCACAAATGTGTCTTTTCAGACTGTTTATAGCTGCCATACTTACCATAGCTCCAAACCAGAAATTCCCACAAGAGGAGAATGGATGAATGAGTCATGGTGCATTCTTCCTAGTGGACAATAAAAATTATGACTATGGATATATAGGACACTGGGAAGGAATCTGAAAACAACATGTTTTATGAATGAAACCAACACTCTGATTTCATTCATGTGATTTCCTAGAAGTGAAAATTAATCTTTGATGTAAGGAAGGAATCAATAATCTCTTCTGGAAGGAGGGTGGGGTTGTGGGACTTTTCCTCAGAAACATGAATAAATATTCATCTCATGTGGGGCATGAGCAACAAAGCAAACAAGCAATAGCTTGGCTAGCTTAGTGAACCAGTGAGATTACTGGGGCTACTTATAGGAGCCTCAAATGCAGCTGGAACACTAAGAAGCCCGCCCTTGCATTAGTGACAGCTCATGGAGGCCACATCCTGGGACCTGACCCGCACACAGTTTTTCAGGCAGCTCCTGCAAAGACAGTTTCTCTTCCCTGCTGTGTTTACTACCTTTGGGGAGAGGGTGCCTTTTGAACCTCGGAACTTCTTGAGGTTGGCCGTCCTGTTATGCTGCTTTAGCTTTCTCAGACTTAGGATCTTCCCTTCTCCCCCAGAAAGCAATGCTCTAATTTCCATGCAGCAGGTTGGGGGAAACTATCTAGAAAAGGGCACAAGAGAAGTTTGCAGAGTAATGGGCTGTTCTACATCCCATTTGTGATGGTGGTCACAGTGACATGTGCGCTTGTCAAACCTCGTGGAGCTAACTACTTTAATAGGTATATTTTCGTTTTAGCTAAACCAGGCCTTCGAAGCGAAGGCAAGAAGAGTCAATATCCTCTTTTCAATGATGTTCTCTCGGTACAGATAAGAGTGGGAATCCACACTGGACCAGTCTTAGCAGGTGTCGTGGGAGACAAGATGCCTCGTTACTGCCTGTTTGGTGACACTGTAAACACAGCCTCAAGGATGGAAAGTCATGGACTTCCTGACAAAGTGCATCTGAGCCCCACAGCCTACAGGTTGGCCATCTGTTTACCCCTCCCTTCATTGTCCTTCTAGCTTCCCCAAACCATCTTACTGCCAGCAGCTCGGGGAAGGACAGGAAAGGAAGTTGCTGTTTCTTCCACAGCGCATTATTAACTTGCAGACAGGAAATAGTGTGGGGCTTCTACCACAATGTGTGTTTTCCTGTAACCCCCTCCCCGGGCCAAATCCAATCTGGTGCTTGTTTCTCCAAATACTTTTATTGGGACAAGACAGTGGGACTTTGCAGGAAAAAAAAAAAAACCCAGTGCTGAGCTAGACTGTTTTGTTTGTGGTATCAAAAAGAGAAGGTAGAATCCAGCGGTGAGGTCTGTAAGGCATAAGACACACTTTTATTTACACATTATCTATGATGTCTCTGTGAGTGGCAGAGTCAGGCAATCATGGCAGACAGTGGCTCACAATGCCTGACAGAAAGATTTGCTCTAGTAAAGGAGGAAAGAGAATTCATGGCTGTGTTTGAAGTAGAACAAATAGAAAGATGTGCACCAAAATGGCACTATTTCTGGATGGTTAGGACAGGCCACAGTTAGATGGAGTTTCTTCCGATCAGTTAGCTCCTTTGCTATTCTTAAACTGCTCCACGAATAAAAGCCACCGCCTCTCTTATTTACATGAGACACAATTTAAAAATATCCTAGTGAGTTTGTTGTTATTGTTTCTAATTTTCCTGTTTTTTTAAAGAGAGAGAGAGAAAGAAGGCATGGAGTTGGGTGGGTAGGGAGGATTTTGTAGGAGATGAAGGCGGGGAAACCTTGATCAAAATATATTGTAGAAAAAGTATTTTCAATAAAAGAAGAGCAAAGGGGAAAAATCTGATATTGAGTCTTAAAAACAAAACAAAGGAAATAATAGTTAACATCTTGCCTCAGCTCTGAGAAGGCCAGGAAGAACTGTGTGAAGTTCAGACTCCCACACTAACCATTCTACTCTCCCACCAGTAGAATTAGAGTGTGGTGTACAGAAGGTTGGGAGGGGTCCATATTCAGAAAAGAATGCTTTATGGAGATGCCCGAGCTGAATCTTAAACAGGATTTAGACAAAACCAGGGTGCTGGGGAATACAGACCAAGCAGCAGGAGTAAAAACAAGGTGTGTGGGTCCCCTGTGGCCACTCCTAGGCTTTGGAACCCACTCAGAACACTGGTCCTTCATGCCTCCCTCCTTCCCCATTGAGTCCCTCACTCTGATAGTCTCCTACCAGCCTCTAGATGGCACCTCAGATCCTCCCTCCTTTGTTGTGGGTCCAGGCTTTGTCTTGATCTTTCATATTTGGTATATTTTGTTTTTCTCTATATAGGGCCCTGGAAAACAAAGGGTTTGAAATTGTCAGGAGAGGTGAGATTGAAGTGAAAGGGAAAGGAAAAATGACCACATACTTTTTGATCCAGAACCTGAATGCCACCAAGGATGAAATCATGGGGCGACCTGCAACTCTCACCCATCAGAAGGGTAAGCAAATCTCAAGGCTTGTCCTCGGTGTCAGGTGTTCCTCACTGAGCTCTTGAGAGGTGTCTAACGTGATCCTTGGGTCAGACAGGGAGCACCCCACCCTCCATGATGTTGCTACCATCCAGGCAGTGAAAACCCACAATGACCAGCTCAGCAATCTTTGTCTGGACATTCACATCCTGGGGCAAGGTCTCACCTGCATCAGTTTCCATGGCGATTGTCTATCCAAGAGATAAGTTTTCCCACAGATGCGCCTGTGCTAGGACATTACTCTGAGTGCTTCCCATGCTGGCTGCTGTTCAGTTGAGCATCCCTGGGAGATGAGCTTGGTTTAGACTGTTTCCCAGGAGCAATACTGAGATGGAAGGGTCTAACAAAACAACAAAAACTACAACAAATCCTGGCTTGAAACAATGAAACCGATGCTCATAGTTGTTTGTGGCCCCATTTATAGGCTCTGGTGCCTCCCACCAACATCGCCCTTCCCTTTCATCATGCCATTCTCATAGTACAGAGAATATTTCTACCTTTCTTCTTTGTTGTTGTGTTTGAATAGAATGAAGTGAATGAAAGAGGGGGGTGTGACGCTGTGTCATGGTGGAGGACACAAGGCATGGCAGAAGCCCGCCGGGGGTGGCCTGGCTTAAACCCTGCACAGGCCTGTGCCACTCACCTGCAGAGGCCCCCTACTGTTTTGCAGAGAGACACTGGGGTATGTTTACTTCGATTGTTAAGCAACTGCCTTCCAATATTGGCTCACAGATTTCCTTTCTAGCTCTCTCTGCCGGCAGGCTGTTCTGGCACATCCCTTCCTCTGGGCAAAGACCAATTTCCTCCCACAGCTCCTTGTTTAGGTAGCACCGTGCACATAGAGAACACATCCCTGTACAGGGTCCTCCAATGGGATCCATCTCTTTCTTCTCGTTTCACACACTGCCCTTACCATGGCCCTTTCCCTCCTAGCAGTCTTGGATTGCCTGCTATAAGCCTTCTCTTAGGCCCTAGGCCAAGGCATTTCTGTCTTTTGGGTTGCTCCATTGTTTCTGAAGTATAGTGTTAAGGCCTCCGAAAATTCTCGCCACTCTCAGAAGACACCTAGGAAGAGTCTGGTTCCTAAGGGACACGGTAACCTCAGGGGGCCTGGGCATTTTTCCTGGTGACCATTGCCATCTACACATAGTCAGATGGAGTTCCTCAAAGCCAGCAATGGACAGCAGGACAGAGGGACGCTGCTATACGACTATTATTCTTCCCAAGCCCATTTCCTTCCTCACATGTTTCCATGAGGCACGCATGCCGATTTGGAAGGCGGGTGGTGGTAAGGAGGGTGGTGGATGAATTTCAGGTGCCTCTAAGATGTATGCAATCCAACCCTCTTGAGGTTCAGAGCCAGGAAAGAACGATCCAGAGCGGGAAACGACTCAGAGCGCAGATAGCCTCTCACCCATTCTTCTGCTGCAGCTGGTCAGTGCCACACTGGGCGAATTAGACAGAGGTCCAGGGATTGAGCCAGCTCTATGCCTCATGCTGACTACTAGAATGGGTAAAGCTTCTGTTAGGGTCAGGCTGAAGTGGGCAAAGCCTTGCAGACGAAAGAGAAGGCTGAAGAGTCCGTGTCCAGACTTGGCCCAAACCTTCTGCCCCAGGCAAGTGTGACCTTCCATGTCTTATATCTGTCTGGGTGGTAGAGCAGATGTAGCAATGCAAGAAAAAAGAGATGATTTTATTTACAAACACTCTATTAGAAGAATCCCTGCTTGTAAACTCACAGCATAGCTTACAGACTCGAAGAGCCCTGCCCCCCAGTACTTAGCAGTGGTCCAAATCCAACTTCTATTCCTCAAGGCAACAGCATTTCCCCCAATTCAGTGTCCTTGCAGACACCACAGCACCCCACTGAAGCCCTCATAACTGGCAGTATAGCAGACACAACTACACTATGGATATCTGTCCAACGGGAGTGTATCGTCTGCAGCCATTGTTTCCATTTATGTCCGTTCAGTTTATTTCCAGATCTTTTTGTACTGCTTCTAGTACTGGGTTATGTGGTTTGTCTAACCAAAGATTATTTCTTTATTAATTTGTATTTGAGAAGAAATGCTTATTTCTTAAACCAGAAAATTCAACAAACCAAAAAAAAAAAAAAAAAAAAAAATCCTCCCCTGTGATTCATCACCCAGAGAGACTATTGTTTTAAAAATTGGGGTTTACATCTTCTCAGAGTTGTGTCCATAAAGGTATATGTGTGTATGCATTCTCTTGGAAAATGGGAGAATTACATACACACATATATGTATCTGTTACTGTTTTGTACTTTCCTTTAGAGCTTGAAATAAATTTTATTTTTGCTCCATTTTCATTTTATATTTTATGCATATAGGTCTTTTGCCTGCATGTATGTCAGTGCACCACATGTGTGCAGTGCCTATGGGGGTCGTAATAGGCTGTCAGGTCCCCTGGGACTGGAGTTACAGAGTGATGTGAGCTGCCATATAGGTTCTGGGAATTGAAGCCTGCTCCTCTGGAAAGACAGCCATGGATCTTTTCTGCTGAGCCATCTCTTCAGTCCCTGAAATAGATTTTAAAATAGAGTATGGAAATTAAACAAAAGGACAGTGTGGTTGACATGGCAGCTTAGTTTCCAAATGACTTGTGTTGTTACATACCCAAGTATTGCGGTAAATAAGGATCAGGATAAACAAATAGGCCGAATAGATGTTTATTCAGGGAGAAATAACTTACAACCTAGACAGATGAACACCAGGAAATTCAACCCGATCCTCTCCCGTCCGAGTCACGCCAGAAAGAGAGCGCGCCTTCCTGGCCCCCTCCGACCTCCTTCCTCAGGTCACCTCCGCCCATCGCTCCACCCCCCAATGGGCGTGGTCAGTGCTACAGAAGGACTACCTCACTACACCCAAGCTCACACTTAATATACTATCAAATGGAAATTCCAGGGGTCACTTATCTCTGCACATCTACAGTATAACTTCACTGACCTTGGCATTTTGAAAATACGAAGTTTTCTCTAATATCTTCAGGAAAGATTAAGTCCATTCAATTTAGGTTTTTCTTTAGTTTATCTCAGGTGTGGGGATAAAGTAATCCATAAAAGACAAACCACCTCATAATGAATCAGGAAAGGTAATTAATGAGAATGTAATATTGTGTGTTTGAACACATATGCATGTGTATGTGTTTATGCTAGCTTATATGTGCATGAACGTGTGTGTGTGCGCGCGCGCGTAGATCTGAGGCTGGCATCAGATGTCTTTACCTTTATATATTGAGGTAGGATCTCTCACCAAATGTGAAGCTAGGTGTTTCAAAGTCTGGATGCCACTTTGCTGAGAGCTCCTCTGTCTCCACCTCCTGAGCCTTTGTGCTGGGATTGCAGGCAAACACTAAGTGTATAAACCTATAAGACTTCTGTGTGGCTTGTGGGGATTTGAATTCTAGTCCTCACATGTAAGCAACTTTCCCCCATTGAGTCACCTTCTAAACCCCCAAGTGTTTTCAGTAGAAAACAAACAGACAAAACATCGTTTGTGTTCTGTATTTCTGCTCTGCAATATTAACATAAAAGTGAACCCAAACCTTTTGAGACACACTCTTTAATTCAATGTGCATAGTCCATCTCTGAGAAATTAAATCACTTAAAATTATAATACTTATCAGATTTCTAATAAACACAGTAGTGCAATAAACTCCATAATTAAAAATGAAAGAAATAAAGGGTATTAAGAATAATAAAATTAGCAAAACAAAAAAGAAAAATAACCCTAATACTTGAATAGATAACAGTTACTGGCTGATTCAGTATTGCCTTCATGTTGCTGAGTGATGTTGGAGAGGGAAAATGATAGACTATCAGATGAACTTTTAATTAGTAGAATCTATACTTAGCCACTCCACTTGGGCCACGTTTTATAAGAATATCATATGTGAGAAAAAAAATGTGTACATTTGAGAGTTCCATGGACCTTCACTCCTTGTCATTTTTAGACCCATTTTAAATTTTGCACATAACTTGTCTACTTGAGTTGCCCCTAGTCAGGCTCTGTCTGTCCAGATCTCCTTCTTTGCTTCTAGATCTGAGGACACAAGATGGAGACAGGTCCAGAAGCCTCAGATTCCTGACTCACTTCACAGTCACTAAATACTTTATCAAACAAGGCTTGTGACAGTCTGGTCCTGCTGGAAACTGCCTAATGCTCTTCCGATCTTAAAGAGAAACTGATCATGAGGCAAATTTGAGAAGGAGTCTGGGGTGCTATCAGCTCCACCCCGTGCCACAGAAGCCAACTCACAAATTTGGGGAGGGAGAACAGATTTGATTGACTGCTTTCTAGGATGCTAGATTTATGTGAGCCTGTATCCCACACAGGAGCGTTCTCAACTTAAGTGTGTCTGGAACAATGGTTACATAGAGAAGGAAATGAACATGACATGTGACTAAAATCTCAGATGTTGTAGGGTGGGCAGGCAGCAGGGGTAGGGATAGCCTCTGCCAGCCAGCCTCCCATAGTCGGAGTTCTAACCCCACTCCCTCCTCCTCTCCTGGCTCACATCCCAGAAGCAACTGTGTTCCTGAGCCTGCTTTTTGGCCTCCCACAGGTAGACAAATTGGCTATTAGGATTTTTTTTTCCATGTGGGGCATTGAATTAATCACTTGATATAAATCATCAATTTAATTTAATTACTAGTTTCTTCCATTTTACAGATGGGGAAACATGAGACCCAGAGAGTAAGTAACATGGCAGTCAGAGGCGAGCAGTGCTACACACCCCAGTGCATGGCACCGTGTCTGAATCTCATCTCCTGTGGCCTTGTTGTTGAGGGCACATAGACAGTTTCATGCTAGCCAGGGCATGTGAGTTGTGCAGAAGTAAAGGTTTGTGGTGACATTGTAGCACAGCATAGCAAAACAAAATTATAGAGAGGAGTGGGGGTATGTGTATGGGCGTGTCTTTCCTGCTGGGAAGACCTTATTGTAAGGAGTGGCCATGTTGTGTTTCCAGGAGCCTGACTCCAACCCGCCCCCTTGCAGAGTAACCAGCCCAAAGCTTTATCCACTGACACTTCTGTCTTGTTTTAGCTTCTGATGAAGCCACACCTGCTGGGAGCCCCGTGGCAGGACAAGACTCCATGGATGCAGTCAATGGCCAGCCATCACCAGATCAGACCAAGACAAGCTTCCTTGATAGTGACCCTGCGCCGTCTATCTTCTGTGTTGTATTGTAATCAAGAGAAAAAGTGAACCCATGGCATTCATTTCTTTTCATCAATGGCGGCAGGGAAAATTAACTTAGAATAATTTGGAAGTTCAAAACGTTTTCAATAGCATATCTTTCTCAGCACCCCTTTGAGAATAAAAGGATAGAAGTAAAACACAAGCCTGCAAGGTTTGGAAAATGCTTTGTAGTCATGGTTCATGGTCAGCCTTCAACTGACTTGGGCTCTGTTTGTTCTAGATGTTGACTTTGCCTGTGGGTCTCTTTCTGTTTGCTTGCTCTCAGCTCCTTGCCTCTGGACAGGTGCCCTAGAGTCCACTTTCACAGGACACCCTGACCTTGGACTCCAGTATGCCACTTAACTGGTAGTGGGAGGAGAAGGGAAGAGAAATTGAAGAGACCCAGACCATGCAGTTTATACGTTACCCACTCAGGCAGCTGGACTGTGGAAGGCACTGAGCCAATGGGATGAAAGGAAGCCATTTTCCAGACACTCCACACATCACCCTGGAGCTTGCATTTGTTCTACTAAACACTGCTAGAGACAATCTTCCCAGTGCTTGGGCATGTTTGCTACGTTCCTATTGCTTTGTTAAAAGACCATGGCCAAGGCAACTTATAGAAGCGAGGGTTTGTTTGGGGCTTAGGGTACCAGGGAATTAAGAGACCATCACTGTCAAATGAGGACAGAACACCGTTCTCATCCAAACCATCATACTTGGGAAGTTTCGCCTGGCTAATAAAAAGCTCACAGGGCCCGTTATACCTCACATGCACCTTTATTCAGTCTGGAATTGTTTGTGAGTTGAGGCCCCAGAGCCCAGGAATGGTATATGAACTCTTACTGAACCAATTAGCTCATGGAATGTCTATGCCCTGGCACACACCTGTACATGCTGTGTTCCCATGGAAGTATCTGGTGGTCTACCTCACGGCTGCCAGAAGACCTGGGCTGTCACTCCAATAAGAGACTTGCTCATAAACAGTGAATATTTGCTTGGGGGGGGGGGAACAGCATGACTCTAGGCAGAACATTTCCCAGAGCATAGCATCCCAGGGAACAGCCCTCTATAGCTACAGCTCTGTAGGCTCATTTTACCCCACAACCCTGCCTTGTTCCAGTTCCTCCTAGCTTCTCCCACGTCAGAGCACCTGCCCCAGGCATGGCCTATCCAGATGGTGACAGATGGCTGGTCCTCAGACTGACGACTGACAGACTTATTGGCCTCTAGCCAATAAGAAGTTGAGTACACTCTCTATTGCCCCATCTCAGGGGTCAAACCTAGGCTTCTAAGAGTCACACTACCCCTGCTCCTGCTGTTCTGCATACTATGGCAATCCTGTATGGTGGAGGCAAAGCTCTCGGGCCCTGAGGAGGAGAGGGCAGTCTGCTGGGGCCCCTGTCTGTTGCTTCCTCCTCCATAGCCCTCCTTTGCTAGTTGATGCCAATTCCTGATGCTCCATTCAGGCTTGGTGTCTTATCCCTCTCCTGGGCTAAGACTTACTCATTCTTCACAGACGTCTGGCTTCCCATGTCCCTTCTTAGTCTCTTTCTTTCACTTCCAACTTTCCTTCAGCTCAAGTTGTGCGAGAACGAAAAAGAGCCGACTGGCTAACGGGTGAGATCATTGTCATCCCCAGGGAGCGGGTGCTATGCACTAGCCTGGAGACTAAGAAAGCAAGCAGAGGAACTTGTTCTCTGCAGAGGACCATCTGGCTACAGCACACTCGTGCTTAATCTGTAGCTTTCTTTTTCTTTATTCCTTTTGGTTTGTTCCCCAGGAACACTTTGTCTGCAGCTGTAAATTCAGACCTGGCCCCTATGAAGGCAAGCGTCCATTTGGGGAACATGCTTATTCTCTCCACACCCATCCCTCTTGTAGGCGTCAGGAAGCCATTGTCAGCAATGGTGGGTCTCTGTGGCTTCAATGTCAGGGCTGCACTTTCAAATGGAAATCAGGCAATTATGTGCCACATAGAGAACCTGACAGATGCAGAGGTTTTACACAACTGGCCCTGTCTGCGGGACAAAAGCACCTGGTGCTCCCCGAGGGACCGTTAAATAAATAGAATCTGCTTTGAGAGCATAGAAAAGTTCAGGAATAATTAACTGTGTGATGAGCATTCATAGATTCGGTGGCTGTTTAATTTCCAAATGCGATAATGATATGTCAACTAACCGCCTGAGTCATGCTTTTAAAGGTGGCATGAGAAAAATCCGTCTCCATGTGGATTGAACATTGAAACTGAGGAGGCGCTGCTCTTAACGTCCCCATGGTGCAGTCCAACAAATTTAGGAAGGATTTTGAATCATTGTATTTCCCCTCAGGAGGTTCCATTTGATGTGACTCTCTCTCTCTCTCTCTCTCTCTCTCTCTCTCTCTCTCTCTCACACACACACACACACACACACACACACACACACACACACACACAAACCATGTGTGGTCATGAGACCTGGTCTGGAGTGTGGCTGATGCTCAGTGAAACTCCATTGGAGAAAACTGATTTTTTTTTTTTCCTTTGTCAGCGGATATCAACACCACAATCCTAATCTTTGTAACCAAACAGTAAATTTCACTGAGATTGCAAAGATATTTCTAGTAGTTCTTGTTTTAAACCCTTCCCTGGAGTATTCGTCCTTATGAACTTTTAGTATCAACTTCTTGCATTTCAAATATCCTGGTAGAGTCTTTTCATCGGTCTTGGAGAAATACATCTAAAATTCCCATTCAAAACCCTGCTTCCTAAAGGAAATGCCTGCTATGCTGAGATGTGACTACAAACACTCGATTTAACATAAACTCAATCTGCCTTCATGGCGAGAAACCACCGAGAGCCAACCCAAGCTGGTTTAAAGATAAAGGTTCTGAAATTAAAAAAAAAAAAAAAAATTCAGGAAAGGGAAATGGTAGATAAAACATCAAAGAGCAGGTGAAAAGAGTAAAGAATATTTAACTGCACACAGTACTCAGGGGTTTGTCAAAAACAGTGTCTTTCTGTTGCCATGGAGACATGACTTTTATCACTGCAGATCTGATAAGTGTGCTTTTCTCTAAAGTGTGTGTGTGTGCTTTTCTTTATACTGTGTCTGTGTACTTTTCTTTAGAGAGAGTGTGTGTGTGTTCATGTGTGGTTGTTACATAGCAAGGATCTGGAGATCAGAAGGTATCTTACGGTTTTAAGGGATCCAACTTACATAATCAGGCTTGGTGATTTCACTAAGCTACCTATTAGCCTGTTTCAAAAAAAAAAAAAAAAGAAAGAAAGAAGAAAGGAAAGAAGGAAGGAAGAGAGAGAGGAAGAGAGGGAGGGAGGGAGGGAGGGAGGAAGGAAAGAAACCCTAACATTAAATAAGAGATTTCCCAGAGGTTAATTAATTTAATTGGGTGTGGCATTATAATGAGATTACACATGTCAAAGTAAATTTTGTGCATCAAGGAGGTTGTGGCAAGAGGAAGGTTTTAGTGGGAATAAGTGAGATGTTCATATAGGCTTCTGGATACACACCTGTGATTTTAGAGACTGGAGGCCAGCGTTAGCTCCAGACTCTTGGTGGCAGTACCACCTCTGAACATGTACTTTGTCAGAACGTCTTACCTGGCTTGCTTCTGTCTCAAATAACATTAAAGACAAAGTTTGTTACAGAAATCTGGAAGGCTTGCAAGTAGACCACGAAGGAACATCTTGTGGCTTTCAAAGTCCTTGCGACAGTAGCTATCTCCGGCAGGCAGGAGCTCTCCATGAATTCTTGCCTCCAGTTTTGTCTGAGTCTGATAAGAAAGGTTTTGCCTAATCACCAGCATGTTTTACAACCTTGCCACCTTTGCTTTCCACAAGCAAGCTGATGTGGGAGAGCTCTTGTGCTCTGGTCCCTGTGTTGTTTCCACGGATGCCACGATGGAAACGCTGCCCCTTACCTCATGTGTGCTTGCAGGCTGTTCCTATTGACTTGGTCTGACTTCTGCAGCCAGATGTCTTTCCTTCCCTTTCACCTGATACTACCCTGCTTTGTGTAGCCACTGCTTCTGTTTGGGGTTAGTGTTTTTTTTTTTTTTTTTTTTTTTTTCTAGTCTTGATGAAATGAAATTAAAAAAAAAATTTTGGAGTGATTTCAAGAAAGGAAAAAACGTAAAGACTTCTCAAGGCAAGAGAAAGCATTTTCTAACAGTGAGATGGTCACACTGGTCTGCTGGACACTTTCTAGTTTGGTGTAAGTAAGAATCATGGACGTAAAGACTTGAAACTTTGTTATGAGCACTTTCCCACCAGCCTGGTCCCACAACTGGGTTAGCCCCAAATAACACACAGAAACACTGTATTAATTATGAAGCTGTTGGCCAGTTACTAGTGTTTCTTATTAGCTAGCTCTGTCTAAATTACTAATGTAATTACACATAATTACTAATATATGTGTTTCTATGAGGGTCCTCTCTTCCAGATATCATACCATTCTATGTCTCCCAGAATCCTCTACTTCTCCTAGTCCCACCTACCTCGCTTCCCCTGTTGGCCAATAGTGCATTATTCATTAACTAATAAGAGAAATATATTTACAGAATGGCATCTCCCATCAAAACTTTTCATATGAGTTGCTAAAGAGCTAAAGGGAGATGATTTTTAAAGTGTGTGGTCATAAAGATAATTATGAAGTGTTAGAGAGGGTTTGAGGTATTGAAGGCATTGTCTTGCTTATCATGTCTGTCAACTTTTAAGTTTTTCTGGACATCATTTTTCCTAAACAATGTATACACAGTAGATACATGATCCTAAACAATGTATATGCAGTAGACAATTTGGGACTGAGCTCATAGAGATGAATCACTAATGGTAGAGTTAAAGCTCAGGGGTGCTTGGTTTGGAGAAAAACTGGGGTCTTGAGAAAAATAGAGGAGAACTAATTTGCCTTAAGAAATGATAAGATGGCCGGCTGTATGCTAAGAACTTTATATGTGCCAATATTCCCGGGAGATAAATACCTTATTAGTTCCTCACAGAAAATGAGGCTGTAATATGTAAAACTTCTCAAGATGGTAGAGTCAGAATTAAAATCCTGGCCTCTCTGGGAGGATTGGACTCTTTCATTGACAAATATACAGAAGTGTGCAGGCCTACTCTTCT